CATAGTATTTTCCAGCACCTGCATTCTGTATCACAGCAGAAATTGATTTAGCTTGACAGTTCAACATGAGAACCATGCATCCTTCTGTTTTGTTTGGTGATTTTAATAGTGACACAGTAATTGGAAGCCAATCAAAGCTACAGCTGTTACTAACACTGCATCAATACTGTCATCGAGTTTATCTACACTGGGACAAATATACCGGTAGTATGACATCTCACATTTTTAATTTCAACCATCTTTATATTTATCTGCTCATTTAAATAAAAATACACTGTCACTATCCAATTGTCAAACTGCACTGACTTTTGCTGCATTTATGCGATGAAAAATATCAGTCATTGCAAGAATACATTACAATGGTGCATGAGTAAATGTATTTTTTAGACACATGTGCATGTTGTACAGAACACAAGTCAAAATTGCAAACCAACTATTTAACACTATACTACCCTGTCAAACGTCTTGGCAACATTTCATGAATTTATACATATTTTTCATTTAATTTTAGCGCAAATGGAAATTATTTCCCATTGGGTATAGGTATTTTTGAAAAACATGTTGAGCTGCATAATCCACGGTAAAAATCTCAGATTCTGTATACGCTAAATCTAAATGTTTTACTAATTCTGTTCGTCATAAATATTAGGAAAAAATTACAATAAACATGATTTATAATGAATTAATTAAATAATTAGTACTAGTCCTAGTACAAATAATAGAATTCCCAGATATAATTTCATAAAATTCATGTTATGGTCACATGATACAATCGTGTATCAAGTTCATGGTTTGGGTGCTAATAAAATAAACTACAGTGAATTTCATAAAGGCATGAATGTTTTTTATATAAAATAATACGTTCGCAACTGCAGTAAATCCACCAACGATTGAACAAAACTTTCAAGACTTATGGGTAATGGACATTACCAAATTGCTTCTACAGCCAATAAAAGCATACTCTTTGGATTTAAAAAAGCCTAAGGATCACCAATGGTTTTATAAATATTGTATAAATTTTCATAAAAAAAATTTATGCCTTCATGAATTTCACTGTAATAACCAATATTTCAATCTTTATATAAAATGGCTTCGTCCATAAGTTCGTCATCGATGAGGCACGGACTATCTGTAGAGCGATGCGACTGATCTGATGTCCCTGTGATGCTTAGATTCCCCGGCGACTTTACGGCCGGTGATTTCACCATAAGAGGTGACTTAGCCATGAAACCTAGTGGAGACTGCGCCATCACACTACGTGGCGACTTAATCTCCGTTTCAGTCTGAGTATCACTTGTTTTAGAATCGGCTTTAGTGTTGGAAATATGTGGTACATCAATCACCAGTCCATCTTCTTCATCACTTTCGTTGCTCGGACTCTGTGATCTTTTTTCACCGTCAGGGTTTGATACACTCACGGGAGTTGGAACTTTGAATTCTTTTTTCATTTCATCTCGTCTTGCAATTAATTTCTCAGATTTGAAATCACTTGATGCATCTGTACTTTCATTGACGTCCTTTCTAACCTCTTCGTTTGTCTTCCCTTCATTCTGTTGCTCCAGAGGAATTACTCGCACATGTTCATCAGTTATTCTGTCAGGCGAGGCAAGACTTTTCTCAGTGATTTGACTCTTGCTGTCATCTGGACTTTCCGGACTCTCTCTCTCTGAAACTAACTGTTTCTCATCATCTTTTTTCTTGTTGCTCATTGCCATAGTTGTCACTGCGAGAACCGTTGTTGCCGGCGTTGGTGTGATCGTACTCACAGCTACTGTTCTAACAACTAATATTGGTTTTATTGGAGTGCCACCAATACTCTGTGCGGTCACTATTTTCTGTGTTGTTTGTTTCACAACTGAGCCCTTACCAGGATGTCGTTTTTCTACTTTCTCACCTTCTTCATTGGGTTCCATCCATTTGGTTGGATTGACGCTGCTCATTACATTCACGCTGCTTGCGCTTTCTTTTAACTTATCAATAACAGCCGACAGAGATCCCTTTCTAGATCTGTTCGGTGATTTTGATTTACTTGATAACAATGGGGAGGTCATTGTTTTACTCGGCGATAATATAGTAGCAGATGATGATGACGTAGTGGCAGTGTCTGGTTCGTCAGTTGGCAGCACAAGGGGTGGCGGCCTGACTGGTTTTATTGTCACCTGTTTAGGCTGTGTAGTTTTTGTACTAGTTTCAGAAGACTTCGTCGGATGTGTACTTTTACTCTCTTTCATCGTTGATTGAGAATTTTTAGTATCAGCAGATGATTTTGTTGAGTGCACGTTCTTTACGCTAGAATCAGATGATTTTGTTGAGTGCACGCTCTTCACGCTAGAATCAAATGATTTTGTTGAGTGCACGCTCTTCACGCTAGAATCAGATGATTTTGTTGAGTGCACGCTCTTCACGCTAGAATCAGATGATTTTGTTGAGTGCACGCTCTTCACGCTAGAATCAGATGATTTTGTTGAGTGCACGCTCTTTACGCTAGAATCAGATGATTTTGATGAGTGGACATTCTTAGTGCTGGCATCAGTCGGTTTTGTCACATGTGTACTTTTCACAGTAATATCAGTCGATTTTGTTGTTGGTACATTTTTAGCAATAACATCTCCAGCTTTTGTTGACTGGGTGCTTTTAAGGTTTGAGTCTGATGTTTTTGTTGACTGTATATTTTTAACAATAGAGTCTGTTGTTTTAGTTGACTGTGTATTTTTAAGACTTGAATCAGCGTTTTTTGCAACGTGTGTGTTTTTTACTATAGAGTCTGTTGTTTTCGCAGATTGAGTGTTCTTAACAAGTAAGTCGGTTGTTTTTGTTAACGGTAAATTTTTAGCAATGCTATCTGCTACTTTTAATGAAGACATGGTCTCCAGTGCACGTTCTTGTGCTGATGTTACTGCCTTCATTTGCATCGTGGATGGTTTACCACCGCTACAAGGCTTGGTTAACGGCATAGTAACCGACTTGAAACTCATTTTACTGCCCCCTTTCAACTGCGTACCATCAGGCGTAATCGTAATAGTACGTATCGTAGTTTTAAGTGGTGCTATTTGTTTGGCAGTTAACGTCACTGTGGGCGTACTCATCTTTGACATGCTTGAGGACTTTTTACTCTTACTTCCGTCTCCTTTGCGTCGCTTGCCACGTTTAGAGTCTTGCTTACGCTTATGCGAACTCTCACCATCTGAACTTCTTTTGGAGTCTTTCTTTTTTCCTTTCTTTGATATAATAACTTTGGGAGAGTCTACTTCTGATATGGATCTTTTCACTTTAAATTCTGGTGAATCATCATTTTCGTCTGTTGCGCTTTTACCGATCGGTTTGATTTTTTGTGGCATACTGAGATCGAGAACCTCATCTCTTGATGTTAGCAGCATATTTAGTTCAGCACTCATGTTCTTTAAAGTTTGTTTTTCAGATGTTTGTATTTCAGTATCTTCCAACGTTGTTGCTGCCACAGTAGCACTGGAATTACTTGTGGATGGTACGGTTGTGTCGCTAGTGGTCGGTGTCATTTTAGCAATAATAGCAGGGTTGGGCAAACCAAACGCTGTGGCATCACACGTGTCTAAATCAATATTACCCTCTGTAGTCGATTTTAAGAATTCTCCATCATTATCTTGATTATTCAACACATCAACATTGAATTCTATTTGCTCAGAGAAATCATGATCCAGGTCATCTGCACTTGGATGTGTATTCGTGTCATCCACCATGAAATCACCTGGTGTGAATATCTCGCTATCTGTAGGTTTCATGAAAATATCATGCTCCATCGGGCTATCAGCTGGCGGCAATGCATCATGCACACCTGCGTCAGTTGCCGTTGGAGTCAAGGGTATATCCCCGACCGTATTCAACACATTTTCTGGCGTATGCACCCCAGTATGCTTGGGTGTGTCTGATGGGTGTGTTTTTGGTGACTGACCAGCTCTACTGCTGCAGCTGTCTGAACGCTTGAACAGACGTTTGTTGAATTTAGCACTCTGCTCTTCAATATCCGTCAGGATGGCCGACACCTCAGCCGACTCACGGCTTTTACTGTAATCAGACTTACACATCATAGCTGTGTGTGCCATTGGAGGTATTTTGCCGTGCTCTGATAAAGTAGTCGGCGTAATCGTTGCAGTGTCAGCATGCATACTCATATCAAAAGGAACAGTACTGTCCAAATCCATGGCAGATAATTCTTTTGTAAATTCCTCTTCACTCTGCTGTCGCTTGGGAGATCTATCAGTTGTCAGTTTACGCTTGCGTTTCCTGGTTGGTTTTATCTGTTGTGGTTGAGTAACGTTCGATGGTAGCGGCGTACCCTGATCCTGCAGAAGGTTCATTAGCATTGGATTCCGTGCTTTACCGATTTGATTTACCGTCTCTTCGCTATTACCTATGGTTGTAGCGACTGCCGTTGGCGCAATAGCTGTGGTCGTGACGGGAGTAGAAGCAGAGGAGGTAGTTGTAGTCAAAGCGGGATTACTACTACCCCCGCCGACGATAACACATTCACCACCTTGACTCATCATGTTCAAGTTACCAGTCGTTTGCAACAACGTAGCCAGCATAGGATTTTGGGATATCTTGGAATCATCTGTTGACATTCCTCCAAAAGGTCCGCAGGAAGATTCAGAATCCATAGTGACTGTTGTGCTGATGCTCCGGACAAATGGACTCGTAGTGATCGCACCACGAGGCAAATCATTCAGCACAGTCTTGTACCTCTGTACGCTGATAACCTTATCAATAGGCATCCCTGTAGAAGTAGACGTCTGGACTGTTTTAAGTTGATTGTTACCACTGTTATCAGTTTTGGTTAAATTCAGGGTGATATTGCCTCCTATTCTACCTGTGTTTGGCATGAATGCTGTGTAGTCGGTGCTGCCTGGGAACGAGAAAGATGAGAAACCAGTGGCTCCAATTCGCTGTAATCCATCGTACTGATGCTGTTGTTGAGTAGCAGCCTTTTTTAGGATAGCACGCATTGTCACTGGAATGGACATGCATCTATAAAATAAACAATTACAATTATTACGATAATTCTATAATCTACGACTTTCATTACTGTAAAATACTTTATTTTCGCTTGGAATTAATTGTTGCTATTATCGCTGAAGGAATAAATGATTCAGTGAAAATAAAATCCAGCGAATGTACCTTTTTCCCTATATTTTACATTCAACTCATTAAAAAAAAGGGGGAGGGGATAAATCTATAGAAGACACCCAAAAAGTCTATCAGCGAAAATTAATATCAGCTAAAATAAAGTATTTTACAGTACCACAGCAGGGTTTGAGCCAAGTTCAAATTGCTCACTACTGAGCATGTCACTGGACATATGTGCAATGCACAATGGGAGAGAACATCCACTTGTATATATACAGTAATATTTTATAATACTGGAAACTCTCTAAATTCTATGTGATTTTTTGGAAATGTTTTAATAAGATTAGGATTCATATCAATAATAATTTTCTTTCTATGTTAAAATTCTGAGATATGAAGGAATAATATCACAATAGAAACCAGTGCAAAAATAAAATTGTTCAGTTTTTTTTATCCTATTAATACGACAATGACTTACTAAACTTCAATTCCACCCAAACCTTCTTCATAATTGCCTCAATAGGCCAGTAAAGACCATTTATTGTGTTATAATAGGTCATTTATGTAAAAGCGACTGCTTTTTGGGGTAAGAGTACTCACCGCTGTAAAACTTTAGTGGCATACTCGTCAGAACAGAGCGGCTGCTCACCAGGACGGGTATGTAAGCGACATTTCACATTGACCAACTCTGATAAATCAAATTCAGCTGCAAGGAAATAAAAAAGCAAAATTTATTAGCTAACAAAGAACATAGTGTAACAATAAAAACCTTGTTCTTGTTCTTAAAAAAACAGATTTAGGAAGAAGATATCGGAAGGTGCTAAAGATTTAACAATGAAGTGTATTTGGGAAAAGATCCTGCCAGAAAATAAGCGTTAACAGTGCACACACAGCAAAAAGTAGTAACTGAAAATACTTTTAATATTTGTAATAGCTGAATTTAATTTTCACTGAAAAGACATTGACTGTTTGCATGAAGTACATTTTTACTAAATTTTGATGAGGTGAATGCAAAAATAGGGGAAAAAAAATTCCACATGAAAACAAAATTACTTAAATAATACAAGATTTGATCGAAATACAAGTAAATAAGATGGTAATCAGTAATCGTATAATATTAATATGTGGGTCTCCCAATTAGTTTATTATTGACAAGATTCATCATAAAAAATATAAAAAGAATGTCAACCATTAACATGAATACCAATGATGAATAAATCACAAATTTCAAGTAGTTTCCATCTCACATAGACTGAACAATACCAAAATAAGGTAAATTTAGCAAATTTAGTCAGTCAACTGATTCTTTCACTGTCAAACAGATTTCAAATCAACCTGTTGTGGTAGTACATGCACTTTGACCTTAACCAAAGTCTAGTAAGTGGATAAACCTCAGCCTGTGTTGCTGGCCCTCCCATTGAGACTGTGACATTCCCCCTGTACTCAACCTGGGTGGGGGATGCCCTGTATTGATGTTAAACTGGCAGTCGACTTTTGTCACATCTAAAAAAATAAAACTAATAAAAAAATAAAGCAAAATTATTTTCATAATTTTGACATTTAGCCAATTGAAATCATGTTTATTTGGTTTAAAATTATCAATATTATAAAAAAATAAACAAAATTTTGTTGGGGAAAAATGATAGAACCCAAAAGGTAATTCCCCAGAAAGTATATCTACCGATCACAAGGCTTGTTACCATAGCAACATTACTTTCATCTTTTACAAACACTTCTCACTGACAAATCCAGACACTAGAGGGGGTAGTCACAGTCATAATGCAAGTCATTGTAATTTTGTGAAATGAATTATCACAAATCCACAAGCCAGAGGAAATCCAAATTTTGTAGCAGGGCACATTTCACTGGGATTTGAGTGAATCTACAAACATTATCAATTTGCAGTAAAAATTTACTCGTTTGTGATAAAAATAAAGGTAGCTTACCACAAGCCATGCCTTCATTAACTGGATGTTCAAATGATACTGATATACGTTGGGGTGTGACAGGAGTAACATCAAACAATATACTGTCATCCATTCCTGTGAAGCAATACAAATATAAGCAGACCTATCAATGTGAAAGTTCACTTCCTGCTGAAAATACACAGGGTCAAATACAAGCAACAGATGTGATTATTCATTATGGAACTCGCCCCTCGAAAGCCCTTGTTTACAAACGCATGCACGCAAGAAAGGATTTTCATTTCAGTTCTTAAATTTGTCAGTTGTTTTGTTATGTCATGAATTATTTTGATTCTAAATGCCGTGTTCCAGGTTATACATGCTATTGAAAGAAAGTTACAAGCGTCAATGTTTTTTCACTGGTTGACTGCCATGTGCTGAAAAACAGACATTGAAAGGAAAGGTATGAATGCAATATTAACAGAAACCATGTAATTTTCAGTCATGTAATCAAAACTGTCCAGGTATCTGTAAGGGCTCAGTTTGGCATATTGTTCGCCGATTTATGTGTATGTCTCATTAAGAGCCCATAGCTAATTGGATGTTGCTAATGATATAAATGATTTAATAAGGTTTAATTGCCATTCATATTGCCAGCAAAGCGCACTTTCCTTGTACTGTTTTTTCAAAGTAACCATAAACAGAAGAAGCAATATAGTTTCCAACATGGATGACATTTCAGCCTAACATATCTTTCCTTAAAAATTGGTGGTTGTTGCACCGCGTCATGTTCAATATGAATATACAACTCATGTAAAATACATTGATTGTATACATGATATTCAGCGAGATACTACCTGCACTCAGCCTAATAATTCATGCTTATACCTATCTTCTACTAAATCAATTACTAGTCCCATTCCATCAATATTTTTACGTGTGTGCCATCAAATTTAATTTAATTCATGAATTTTGTAACAATTTGCAGGACAGAGCATTACTTGAGTATTCATTATGTTGAGCACGTCCGCACAATGAAAAGAAATAATAAAATCATCCATCATGTCAGACACCATTTCCTTACTTCACATCTCATGACCCTGGTATTAATACATGAGCAACACACATGATATTATTGTTGACGTTGACTACTTGAGCACATCACAGAACAATCTATCATATACCAACTCACTTTCTTTTTCCAGCTGGCAAGAATTTTGATTTTAATGCATTTTATTTTCCCTGATTGATCTCTTTTGTTTTTTCCCAATGATTAATATGTTTCTTATTCTTTCGTTGTAACATTTCAGTTTTCATTGACGAAGGATTTTCACTCAAAACGTTTTTTTTTCCCATTTTCGTGATTTCATATTTTGTGCCAACCATTCCTTATTTATCCGTTTTTACCTTTAATCTACATGTTGATGCATTTAAAAAGTGAAATAAAGTGAATACCTTGTTTTGAGTTATTTCTAACACAGCTTGATATGAGAGTGTTATACACAGCTTGTTGCCGTAGATACATCAGTATCTGGGGTACATGTGCAGGATGTGTGAAGGCAATCTTGGACACTATGATACCTTTCAAATCATGTGCACAGCTGCATTCATTGATGAAGTAACAATGATGCTGATCCGGTAATGTCTGTAATAATAAAATGGAACATTATTCTGATCATTATTTGACAGTTTATAGTTTTTCTCGTTTTGATTTTTATTTCTGGTGATTCACTATTATCACCTTTTAATATTTACATGTTATCACACACAGAAGAATTCACAGAGAACTGTTACTGAAAAGTTTAATTTCACTGAATCAGGTTGACAGAAGTAGAGTCAGTAAATTATCACTTTGTAAGCACATGTGGTCTGTATTAATTCCCATAGATTCACAACTATTATGAAACAGGTTACTGTAAAATACTTTTTCGCTTGAAATTAATTTTCCTCATCGCTGAAGGAATGATTCAGTGAAAAACCTTTTTTCCAACATTTTACACTCAACTTGTCAAAAATCAGTGAAAATAAATTCTGTACAAAACACCCAAAAAGTTTTTCCAGCGAAAATTAATTAATTAAAATAAAGTATTTTACAGTACAGTAGTACATCCAACCATCCAACCAATGTGCCGTTGAACAGGATTGATCTAGTAGAGCCTATAGGTGACTTGACACCAAACAAAAATGTTGTGGGCCCTGATCTCTTTCGTATTTACATACACTTTGTTTATAAAATTTTACCAAATTACAATTTCTATAACTACAGAAAATATTTTTTGAAGATCACAATATCAATGTCTGATTTTCTGTTTTTCACAGCAATTCTATGTGTGTCACTGGCTTGTCATAAATGTATCTGCTTAGATGGCACACTGCACCCAACTAAGTTGTTGAGGATTTTAGCTTCTTTGTTATTGTCAATTTCAATGCAAATTTAAACTTTCTGTTTAAATATCAGCAACTAGAAACATTATATAATTTTGGAATATCACTGAGAAGTTTTCTCAATTCACAAAATACAGCTACATCATTTTTTTTTTAATTATTTTTTCACAATTTTGATCAAGAAATGCGGCCAATAGGACCAAACAAAATTATCTTATAACAAAATGACTGTCAAGAAGTAATTATGAATCAGATAATAACATGAGTCTTAACTTACTACAAAGAATGTTGTATAACTACTGGTTTTATCAGGACATGTTGATGACTGATTGGTGCTGTAATGTTTACATATCAAACCATTCAATGGTACAGCATGGTTGATGTCTACAAACGGCATCCCTACAGAAATGAAGAACCAGTGAATAAGTTGATGTGTGGTTTACAGGGGATTTCACAACAGTGTCTGGATTGATAGTGGTTTACAGAGGATTTCACAACAGTGTCTGGATTGATAGTGGTTTACAGAGGATTTCACAACAGTGTCTGGATTGATAGTGGTTTACAGAGGATTTCACAACAGTGTCTGGATTGATACGTGGTTTACAAAGGATTTCACAATAGTGTCTGGATTGATATGAAGTTACAGCTGATGTGTAGTTTACAAAGGATTTTACAACAGTGTCTGGATTGATACAAAGATACAAGCTGATGTGTGGTTTACAGAGGATTTTACAACAGTGTCTGGATTGATACAAAGATACAAGCTGATGTGTGGTTTACAGAGGATTTCAAATCAGTGTCTGGATTGATACAAAGATACAAGCTGATTAGTGGTTTACAGTTGATTTCACAAGTGTTAGAATTGATATGACCAGTCATGGAAATTTTGCAAGAGACTCAACAAACTGATTACAAACTCGTTAAAACTCCTTAAAAGGAATTATCATATAAAAACAATTAAATTTCAACATCTTAGCCAGTCTAACAAGTGATATCATGTGATAACCGACTGATACCTACCAGTATGTACTTGAATCTGTCTGATGCTGCTAGTTGATAGTGGCATTGGTTTGTTCAGTTTAACCACAAATGAGGCTGGTAACGTCATACTGTTAGGATTGCCCAATGGGATAAATGATGGCGATCTGAAAACATATCAAAACAATCAGCATTACACAGTCAGTGATGGACAGAAATATAAGTAGCTTCTAAAATAAGATAACAAAAAGTCTTTTAAGCTTGTTTAAAATGAGCCAACACAATGTACTGCCGTTTAATTTTCGATGCTGAGAATTCCACGATTTGACGATTTTATGGAATTTATGAAAGTCACCAGAGAAATGTTCATTACTACAAAAATTATAATTTTCACTGTCTTAAAAAATTCATGAAATTGTTGTCTCTCGTAAAATTTCAGAGGTTTAGATTTTTAGGGGTTTCATTTTTGAAGTCATTGCTGTTTTTTCTGATGTTTTCGTTGTGTTTGTTTTAGGTGCAAGTGCACATACGAACTCGTCTCCCACATCACATAGCCAGTACTGCAAATTTGGAAGACTATATTTTGATTGATACTGATGAGTAAACAGTCAGCGAGGCAAACATGCACAGTAACAGGTTACATAAATGTATAGTATAGTATTATAGTATAGTATATTTTATTTGACACAAAATAATGAATGAAAATACATCAGCTATGGCAGCAGGTCATTTTATACCTCTTTCATGTGGACGACAGTCTTTTATTTCTTTAATAACACATTTGTTGAAAAACTAACTTTCAATCTTGATTCATACTGTGCCGGGTCTCAAACAGACCATAATACTGTAAAATGCCTAATTTTCACTGGGTTTAAATTTTGCTGATTTACCATTTCAGGCATATTCAGTAGGTTTTAAATTCATGGTTTTATCATTTAGATAATGTGTTCAATGCTAAATTTTACATATTCACTGGGTTTTAATTTAGCGCATTTTCCAGTCAGCGAAATAAGCCAAATTAAAACCCTGTGAATAATTAATCCTTTTACAGTAATCAGATGACATGTTATAATTATTGCAGCTACTGTCCTTTTAATGTATGTACTGTTGAAATATATATCATACAGCATTAATAAGTTTGGAATCTTGAGTAAACTCACCCAATTGTTCTCTTGCCATCTGGTGACATGGGAATCGATATAATGGGTGTGATCTGCAACTTATGCAATGTAGAACTCTCGATAGTTACACAGACTGAGAATCCTAGCGACCGAGGTACTGGGTCTGTAAAACAGAGAAAAGAATAATTTAAAAGCAAATACCTCAGATCATGCCAGAAATTTTCTGTATAATCTGCCTGGCAAAACTCCCACACTGGGGTGTGGGTTCAATTTAACAAATATTATTTCTTACTTTGCATTCGCATAGGAAATTCCATACAGAGAAATTTCTATTTCTATCCCATTCATTATACACAATATCCCCACTCTTACCAACCCAACTTCTACCACACCTCAGTAACACCCACAGTTTGCCTTATTTCAGGACTGATTCTATAGGAATCCTGAGTCAAAATGGAATCCCCTTAAATGGCTCAAGCCTATAGTGTGTACTGTGGAATACTTTATTTTCGCTGGAATTAATTTTCGCTGAAAAAGTTTTTTTGGCGTTTTGTATGGAGTTTATTTTCACTGATTTTTGATGAGTTTAATGTGAAATGTAGGAAAAAATGTATATTCGCTGGATTTTATTTTCACTGAATCATTCCTTCAGCGAAAATAGCGAAAATTAATTCCAAGCGAAAATATAGTATTTTACAGTATATTGTGTATTTTGTTTCTACAGAGAGCCCAATGAAAATTACTTTATTGTATATTGGCTTACCCTTTTTAAATAAAGTGTTTAAATAAATAAATAAATAAATAAATAAATAAATAAATAAATAAATAAATAAATAAATAAATAAATAAATAAATAAATAAATAAATAAATAAATAAATAAATAAATAAATAAATAAATAAATAAATAAATAAATAAATAAATAAATAAATAAATAAATAAATAAATAAATAAATAAATAAATAAATAAATAAATAAACTTATTTTGTGAATATGCATTTCTTTTTTACCAAATTACAAATGTTTTTCAAGATCACTATGTAAATGCACAATTTTTTGTCAATGACACACCAGCGAATTAGCACAACAAGTTGCGTCACAGTAAATCTTTGTCCATTGCAGTCATCGCGGCTTAGAGATCACATGGATCATTCACCTCTCCATGTACCGTGATAAATCACTCATAACCTCAACAAGATGAATAGAACCGGAATCAGACTTCATAAATAATTAGTGCATGTCATAGCATAAAAATCTTCACATTCTATGCTATATAATGTACTGACCTTTCATGCTAAGAGTGGTCGTTGTTCCCGTTTCCACATTCAGTAAATCATACGGTGACACATAGTAAGTCAACTGGGCAGGTTTCCCTGTAGAATAATAAAACAAGATACTGTAAAATACTTTATTTTAGCAGGATT